CGGGACTTGTTTGTGTTTTCTTTAATTTTCTATTTCCCAGGTCTTCTTCGCAAAAGTGACATTTTGTCTCGGTGATCTGTCACCCCCGGAATGTTGATCATTGGCAACAGTGCAGGGATGACTTCATCCAGCAGTGGATTGAAAATGGCTGAAGATGACAATAATGATGATGACCTCTCACTTCAACTAAACTACAAAATTAAACTTTTTATTTTACCCGGTAAGGCCCACTGCGCGATGTGCCCTTTTTCACATCTGACCTGGCCACAATTTATTGCTCAAAAAAGTGGTTTAGCACGTGAAAATGTATAGCAGTCAAATACTCAAAACGTACGTTCATTCTGAATGTGGAGGGAAAAACCGTGAAGCCCCGGATAATTTTTCACGCGACCACGGGGAGAGAGAGAGAGACATACAAACTTCAAACATACAGCATTCATCAGGCTCGGGATTGAACCCACGACCTCCTGCACACCAGGCGAGGTAGTCAACATCTCGCCACCGCTGGCCAAATTAAAGCTAAATGCACACACACAAAATTGCCAAACAATTCTCACATGTTTACGTTTCCCTTCGCTGGTGCTGCCTGTTAAGGTCTGATCCTGTAAAGTGCATTTCTTTCTTAATATCTCGTGGATTATTTGAAGTAAACGAAAGAAAATGAAACAAGCGTTTCAATCTCATAATGTTGCGCGAGTGACCTCATAGGAATACTAAAATGCTGAAGAATTTAAAACAAAAATGGAATGACTACTGAAGCAGCTTCACACCTGCCAAGCCTTCTGGCCGGTGGCGGGTCAGGGCCTGTGTAACATTATCTTCCACAACTGAGGAACAGAAGTCCATGACAACTGAATTCGTGTCCTTTTTGTCTAGTTTTAATTCAAGCATCAAAATATGGGTATTTTTTCATTAATCTTCTTTTGCATGGCTTATGAATCGTAGCTGTTGTGGTTCGTGACTATCTTTAATAGCCAGTTTAAGCGTGGTATCATGATGTGCGCCATATAGGCTTACTGTACCATTTATGAGAAGAGGAATTGTCATGAATGGTTCACTGGTGTACGAATTGTGGTGCAATTCAAAAAGGATAAAAGTGCAGCCCTGCAATAGCTTGCTCAAGCTCCTGCTGGTGGAAGGGCCTCGACTGGAGCGAGCTCTCGCAGGCATTCCATCTGCTGTTCTATACACGACCTGCTTTGCTCATTGGCTGTGGTGTACCCATTTTACACTGCTAGGGTGGACAGAGGTGGGGAGAGGTTTTAAATATAAACTTGCCATTGTTTCAACTGCCATGCTAGAAGATTAAATAGAACCAGATACCTCTATATCGGGAGTCCAGTGTGCTGACCATTGCACCACATCAGATTAAGTGTACATTAGTATCATTAAAGTATCTCCTGGGATCGGTTAAGAAAGCCACACAAGGGAAATACACACTCAGGCTATCCAGTGTTATCGTATCGTGTGGACCCAGGTAACACTTTATCTTACTGCTGAAATAATCTTTATAGTACACTGCAATGTTTCAACACATACTGCGCACGGCTTATCTCGATGTTGCCGTTGACCACCTGCAAGAAATGAATGGGCAAGCCAGGTCAAAGAGTTCATGCACGCAACACTCGAGTAGGGTCCATGCGAGTGGCAGTTGAGTGGCTGTCAGAAAGTTGATTGGTAATTTTTTATGTATTTTGCCCCAAATCGTATCCGTAGAGTGATATCGGCATCATGTCACGAGACAGATACTCCACGATGAACTCCGACAGAGCAGCTCACCGACCCCGTGTCAGAGAACGGTCAGTGGAAGCATACATCACAGAACTACTTTTGGAAACCCTTCAAGTGACCTCTTAGTCACACTTGGGGTCAGCACTTTCCCACCCACTCTGTCACAGAGTTCGGAACTTCACATGGCAGTCAAACCATTATTTTCGATATAGAGCTGGAACTTAGGCAAAAATAAGTAAAATTCTCAATTCAATAATGGGTGTTTTATTAAATCAACTGGTCTGTATGCAGATGCAAGATATGTAACCAGTTAAACTAATATACAATCAGCCAACCAGATAGTTACACTTATGAAAATTACGATGTGGGTTTCGAGTCAAAGGGTACAGATCAATGCTCATGCACTCGTTACAAGGCACGTAAACATTTGTACGTTGATTCAAATACATTCCGTAATTTTTTGTCGAATCATCCACATACGAATCGATTCATTTCACTTCATATAAATGTCGCTTTCAGCCGATGACACGAGTTGAGACAACAACCAAGACAGTAACAAGACAGACAATACAAAGATCAAAAGAATGGAATCGTGAATCGAATTGTGATCCTGAACCATGACAATTCATCACATTTCTGGAGGAGAGAATCATTACAAGCCAACCGGTTACAGTCCACAGTCAGTTGTGGAAATTCCACATTCCTCTGGCAGAGTGAAGCACCGAAAATGACAACCACATCAACACACAAACTTAAGACAATTTTCAAAACAAGAGCGAAATCAAACTCCATTCCATTAGACCTTATGTTTCCACTATTTCTTCCGAGTAAAACTTTGTCTGTACCATGCTTATCAATTTCAATGACTTACTGCTGTCAACTTATATATTGCATAATATAATAATAAACTAGGTGAGGTGGTCAAAGGTAAAACATATATTGCACTATAGAAAGCATGTTTGGGGTTATGAATGTACCTTAAATAAGAAATAATATACATATTGCCCCTTGTGTACTTTGACACGTGTTATTTTTTTTAAATCAAATTATATCTGGAGACTTATCTCACTGTGCGATTGCACAAGAGAAAACAAGAAGTATGTTTTTTTTTCCCCACGGTACATAGGTAATGACTAAACCACACGAAATATGCCCAATCTGATCATATCTCGAAAGCTAAGAAGGCTTGAGCCTGGACAATTCTTGGATAATAGCCACCATGGACATTTATAGGTTGCAGAGCTCCAGAGTCAAGTCTGACTGTTGATGAGACACTGCACGCCGAAACAGGCAAATACTTCACTTGTATTTGAATCAATGCTGATAAAATTATGCGCTCCCAGAAATGCCTTGATGGGATGTGTCAAATATACTGTCATTCTTTTTATAGGGAGAGAGAAGCGTATTGTGTTTATTTATTATGTTACTCGCACATAAAATATACTTCTCTTGCAAGTGTTGCTCCCTGTTGATATTTACATCTTGCATAAATTACGAACATCCAGAGGACACTTGAGTGCATTTTACATATTCACTGCGAAGAGATTGGCCAACAGACCTTTGTATCAGACTATGCATTTGTGATCCTGTGCGATAGATAATTCATTATCTCTCTTTCGCAATCCTCACTTGCAAAACACTGATAAAGTTGTGTGACAATAATGTAGGATAAAATTTGCATGTATATAAAATTCTGGGTTTCTTCCACACAAGATTCAACGAACCCATCATGGGCGCCAGTATCGATTTTCATTAATCAAAACTAAATCAATAGCGCAGTTCAGTGACCTGTTGGGCAGCCTTCAACAGCTGCTGCTCCGCTAACACCTGGATCTCTGTTCGCTGCCCTCGAATCGAAAAGCCTTCGCCATTGCAGAATTCAGATATTGGCATTGTTCAAATTAGAAATCTGGTGTATTTTTTAACGTACTTAGCACCCTTCAAAACATCCGGATACAAACGTTTAGAGCCAAGTGCAAAAAAAAAACAAAAAGACGAACAAGTACAAGTCACCACCTACCCCTCACCCAAAAAAATATCTGCTACAAAGCAATGTTTGAGGATAGGTTTTCCCCTTTTTTCTGGCAACAAAACTGGTGTTAAGATGTTAAAACACCAAGGAATCATGCCTATATTAACCACAATACTTGTGGTCAGAATGCAAACAAAAAACATACTCTGATAACACTGGTAAAAAAAAAAAACTTTTTTTCCGGCCTGGACTTTTGCAGCTGTTTTAGACTAATTTCAGGGCGCTGATTCCAAATCTGATCTCATATGTGCTCTATCACATCTCATTTTTATGCTATCGGCAAACCACATTTTCATTGATTTTACCCGAAATTAACTCTGTCACTTATGATTGCAAGTTGTTGCGAGTCAGTGACTGCTTTAGTGTTAAAATATGGTGCTGTATTATTAGGATAGTGTGTTTATAATATAATTTTATGTAGATATCCACATTTATTTAATATTTTTCTTCCGCAGTTTTTATTGAAAATGCAATATTTGATATCTCAAAAACCTGATGTGATAGACAAAAACTGATGCCAGATTTGGAATCAGCACCCCAAAATTACTATAAACCCGTTGGAATATCTTATGCCAGAAAAAGTGTGTTGACCAGTGTAATATATGCATTGTCTTTGAAACTGATTGGACCACACCAGAGACAGCTTTCTTTTGTGCTTCGTCTCAAACGGTGTTAGACCAGAGGACGCCAAAAGGCGTGAAGCAATGTTTGGTAACCACTCCAGTGTTTAGTTTGTTGTACTTCCCCCACACCTCCGAAGTTCAACGTACATACACACATAGACTCACACAGAGACACATAGTTTGATATCCTTCCCGCAAAAATCTCCGTATAGCACGTATGGCGTGAAAGCAGTTCAACATACATACAAATATCACAAAAGAGACTCCTATAAAATCGACACTGCAACTGTAATAAAATATAGTACTCTTAACCACACTAAATGTATCCTAACATCAAAAGAAATATATAAAACACAAGATATGCCAGCAAGGGTCATCAACTCAAATGATATAACACTATTTTAAGTGTTTATTGCCAAAAGCCTTGACCCACAGCACACAGACCTGCACCTCCCCATCAAAAAAAAAATGTTAAACTCTTTTCATCTCAAAATGCGAATCGCCGACATTGGTGAGGACAATTTAGAGCCCGCGTTTGGTGAACCTATTGGCTGTTCTCGATACCCGAGTGGGTAATCATTAACCACGCTCGCGAGCAGACGTATCAATTGAAAAAGACGGGAACCTTGGTTGTCCTGGAGGTGACACCGGCACTCAGCTATTGGTGGTCACACCAGCAGCCGGCTCTTGACAGAACCCGTCTCTGCTCATATCCCATCGCCCCCCCCACCTTCTCGTGTGCTAACGGGTCCTCTTCCTCCCTCCCCGTGGAGTTTCTTCTAGATCTAAAGAATTTGGATTTCGTGCTCAAAAATTTATAAAAAAAAAAATGTCAGGCATCGCAATGAGCAAGTTGGTGGTGGCCTTGCTGGGGGTCCTCTTCGTGGGGATGCTCTCGGCCATCATCGCTCTGTCAGTAGTCTACTCCAACGAGGTGAACGCCAACAAAGAGCCAGCTGCCCCTGCGCCCACCGAGAAGACAACTCCGAAGCCCTCCGACATTACAACTGAGAAGCCAACTGCGAGACCTAGCGGCAAGCCAACAGCATCACCAAGCGAGAAGCCCACTCCAACTATGCGCCCCGGACCTTGGAACAACATTCGCCTCCCTAAGAACCTGGAGCCCATCAGCTACAAGGTGAAGCTCTGGCCAAAGCTAGAACCGGACCCCATCACCAAACTCTACACGTTCAGCGGCGACTCGACCGTCGAGTTCCGGTGTCTGGTCCCAACGGACTTCGTCATCATCCACAGCAACAAACTCAACTACACCGCAAAGGGCGGCCACTTGGCTCTTCTCAAAGACTCCTCGGGGAACGATGTGGAGGTGTCAAGCTCCTGGCTGGAGCCCAAGAACCAGTACCTGGTGCTGGAGCTGACGGCTCCGCTGCAGAAGGATGCGACCTACACGATGGTCACCGAGTTCGTGGGCGAGCTTGCCGATGACCTCGCGGGCTTCTACCGCAGCGAGTACACGGAGGGTGGAGTTAGAAAGTACGTGTGTGTGTGTGTACGTGTACGTGTGTGCGTGTACGTGTACGTGTGTGCGTGTGTGTGTACGTGTGTGCGTGTGTGTGTACGTGTGTGCGTACGTGTGTGCGTGTGTGTGTACGTGTGTGTGTGTGCGTGTGTGTGTGTACGTGTGTGCGTGTGTGTGCGTGTGTACGTGTGTGTGCATGTGTGTGTGTGTGCGTGTGTGTGTGTGTTCGTGTGTGTGTACGTGTGTGTGTGCGTGTGTGCGTGTGTGTGTGCGTGTGTGTGTACGTGTGTGTGCGTGTGTGTGTACGTGTGTGTGTACGTGTGCGTGTGTGTGCGGCCGGATATATACTCACAGGGAATGGAGGGGTGGAGGATATAGTCCCCGATAGGGGGTTCTAGCCCCCCTCAACATGGAAGACTGGGGGAGGGGGCGGTGATGCCAGAAACATAAAACACTTTAAGCCCCATTCAATTGTTTAGCTGCACACCCATTCAAAATCCTGTGCACAAGGAGCGAGAAGCAAATTAACACTAAGATGTGTTATTAGAATTTGACCACATTTTTGTTGGTTACTGGTACATCATTACACTCATGCAAACTAAAAAAGATTAGGTTAATAAATATTACGTACGAAAAAGCTAATAACATCGTCGACCAATGGACAAAAAACTTGATGAAGGAGCGGTTTAAAAAAACAACAAAGAATTATGTAATCAGAGGTGAGGATTCCAACTTGTAACCTTGGCGCAGTGAATGAAGGCAACTGGCACCCTCGGAGTCAGCCCCCCAACCCCACCCCACCCCATTTCCCGTGCACACCACCCAAGCACCTTCACATCACACTAACACGGGGAAACTACACTCGTACACATACGACACAACCCTCACGCATTCAAATAGCCACGAGACCCAGAAAGGGATCGTGAGATTATGAGACCGATCATATTCACCTCTGGCCATGCTGTAATTGTTCGCACCTGTAATTGACACACAGCCAAGTTGGTGGTCACTCGCCATCAGTGCAAGATGTTGAGCACTAAGGCTGCTTGGCACGTCGCTCCTGCGCGCCCTTACACCTGCATTGGTACGCACCGCATTTGTTTTTAAGTGTGCATGGGAACAATTATTACAGCCGATGGTTATATCAGTAAAGGTGGAACCAACTCGGAATGTTAGTGATGATATCAGCTCAATTTCCAGCAGTGTGATGGACTCGAGGATAGATGGCGACAGTGTGTAGAACCCTTCATCCAGCAGTAGATAGACAATGGCTAATTAGGGTTATAAAGACACTGCCACCACCGTCTCGGTGCTACATGTAGGCTACTGTTAATGTTCAGATTTTTTCTAGTCTCGAAAAGAGGTAGGACGTGGACAAAACGTACACACAGTCTACCATGGAAGCACACAATGAATCATAAAAGTTGCTTACTGTTTTATTTTTATTATTTTTTATTTCATATTTAACCTACGTGACTTTACCGAAAGAACTAAGATTATGAATCCTTGCAGTCACGAAAGCTTCAAATCTAGAAATATCAGTTGCTCTCCAAAAGTACGTCTCCGAGTACGATATTCAATGTTACTAATCCGTGCTGCGCGTTGTTTTGCCCGTTATTCTGCCCACTCCCATCACTGCCTCCATGCTGTTCCATCCTCACTGATGATATCGCACCACTACACTCTTCTTGCCCCTTCACAGGGTTGTGGCCACCACGCAGATGCAGCCCACGGACGCACGCAAGGCCTTCCCGTGCTTCGACGAGCCGGCCATGAAGGCTACGTTTGACGTGACGATTATTCACAAACCCGAGCACAAGGCCATATCAAACATGCCCATAATAGGTGAGAAACCCCACGATTACCATTTTTGTCATGCTCATCCAGTGGCCTTGCTATTGAGTGTGCAGGCGGTGAAACTGCACCAGGGGAAAAGTGCTAGGCTATGAAGAGGGAGGGATATTAAGGGGGCCCCATTTCATGTCTTGAACCAGGGCCCATTCCAACCCAGCAGCACGACCCTGTCCACCATTATCTTATTCACAAGTGAACCTAGTATGAACAAAGTGTGGCCATTGGATGTGCAGTGGACTTGGGCAATCCACCTTCATTTTCTGTCTTTATGTTCACAATGTAGACTTATTGCGGGAATGATAACAATCAACGGCGGGCCCGGCATCTGGCAAGGCTTTAAGTCTCAGCATGAAATTTCCATAACGAAGCATGATTCTCAAAAGCTTTTTCAATTGTGCACACACTTGAGAGGTCTGAGCCTAGAGGTTGTGGCAACGTAACCATTGAAGAATGCCAGTTAAAGGCTTACAATGTCACTTCCAGATCATTGCCTCATGTTGCCTGCAGATTCTGCTTTCAGTAGATCTGATTGGAAGTGAAAATGCTGTACTTTGTGCTTTTGTTCTAGACAGCAAAATTGGAATCTAGGTAAAAAACTGCTAACAATTATCACGACAAAATGAAATTGTTTCAATAATCGGAAAAGAGTTCCTGTAATCATGCACCAGTCACTGATGTATTTCCCCAGAGTCCACGAGAGCACTGGACCAATTTTAAAAGCTGTCCTGGACTCACAGTAACATTTTGAAAAGTTTAAACGAGTTCAGTTTAAATTTCGATTTAAAGCTTTCGTGACTGCAGGGATTCATCTTCTTGGTTCTTTCGGTAAAGTCACGTAAAAGGGAAATAATAAAATAATAAAACATTAAACATAATAAAATACAATTTTCACGACGTTTCGGCCACAACGCAAGCAGCCATCCTCAGGTGAAGAACAGGTCTGTCGGAAAGACAGCGTCAGACGCTGTCTTTCCGACAGACGAGTTCAGTTTAAGTTCACGGAGAAGCAGAGCTGGTTTATATCGGTGATGGTCCATCAATTGGCTTCCAACTTTGATGATGACACTATTATACATTTCCAGATGAAAAAAGCATCACAGTTGACACAATTATCTGGAGAGAAACCACGTTCAACACAACTCTCAAGATGTCCACCTACCTGCTGGCCTTCATCGTGTGCGAATTTACTTACATCGAGAAAATAGAAAACGGCACACAGGTGCGTATTGAACATTTCCTCGACTGCAATCACATACTCTATGGCTAAAACCCTGTCTATGGCTTGTCCCAAGATGCAGAAAAAAAACAGCGAGGCTTAGTTGCTGTGAGCTGGGTAAGTAAAGGGGTAGGAGCGAGAACATAATGCCCGTTGTCAAAATTCTTTCTCCATCACGTTCCTTGACCCCAACAGGAATTTCTAACTATCTATGCCTAACTAGATGGCTAGTGGACAACGGCACAAATAAAGATACACCTTTCTTTATCCCACAAAGGTCAAAGATCCAAAGCATAAAAACTATTCAGATTCTAACTAACATTGTCTAGGTACAAATCCCATTATGGGAGAAACAGCGTTTGTCTGCCACGTGTTTCATTAACCGCACACAAGATGAGATCAATCGAGGCAACATACGCACATGATCCTCTTGTGATAATGTATCACTCAGTCCACTGCCATGAGTTCCCACTGGATTCGCCAGACTTGCATTGGATGTTAACCTATAGCCTAAGGAGACAGCGGTGTCTCTCAACATCTACAAATTGTGCTTAGTCGATAAACGAGACACAAATCATTGGCTAACGTCACTCTTATCACGCGCGCGTGTGTGTGTGCAGATTCGCATCTGGGCACGGCCGCAGGCGGTGTACGATGGCCAAGCAGACTATGCCATCAATATCACTGGCAACATTCTCAACTTCTTTGCGGATTACTACAAAGTGGCCTACCCGCTTCCCAAGTCTGGTAGGCACCTAACTAACTACCCGCTTCCCAAGTCTGGTAGGCACCTAACTAACTGCCACAATGTGTGCGCACCAACTCAGGGTGCTTCTCAAACTCCAGTCCTCACGGACAACCATCGCCAGTGCTCCAATGGTGCAATGTATGCCGAGTGAGATTGATTGCCTGGTGGTGGTGTGTGACTTGGGGTAGGATTGTTGTGCGACTGTTGTACGAGTTGGGGTTGTCTTGTGCAGTATTTCACTGATGACCACATGGCTGTGCAGTCTATTTGCTGGCTACTGCTAATAAAACATACTATAAAATCACACACAGTATATAAATTAATTGCCCAGTGCTGGATAACGTTTAATGCATGACCAGACGTTGCATTGCCACACTAGGGCTTACCTTGTATGCAGTGCAGAAAGTTCCATTGGACTGTGCTACACACTACAACATCTGTGCTCCCCACATTCACCAAGGTGGACTGCCCAGTGTGGTGACATTTGGTACAAAGATAATCCCCACGACGTGCATCCAGGAGCTGACTGACCAAATTTGGGCAATGAGGCAACTCACCAGGCCAAAGCCAGGCAGTGGTGGTGCATGCCTATAATCCAGCACCGTGGAGGTGGGAGCTGGTGGCTTACACGGGTGTTGCAAAACTCCCTCGCCTGGCGTGCCGAGGTGCCATTACCCTGCCTTTCCTGCAAAAGGCGGTTCAGAAAAACGCAGAGGAATTTCAAATCCCTTCTGTGTGGGATAGAGTATTGCCCCCTCGCACGTGCGGGTTTTCACCGGGTGTTCTGGTTTCCTCCCACGTGTAACAACTTATTAATTGGATAAAAACATATTAATTGTATATGTAGAGGACAGCAGAGCTTGAGCGATTGTCGTTGGTTTATTTATTGTTCACCCAGGATAGGCCGTATTAGAAAAAAATTAAGCTTTTGTTCAAGGGTTACCCCAGGGAGTATAGGATTACAGAAAAAAATACACAATGCTATCGAAAATCTTAGTACAGAATGTAATTGAAAACTGAAAATATAACAGAAAACAAATGGAAACTTACTCTAATTTGATATTCAGCATTAGTCTTCTCGCATTCTTAAATGAAAACAAAACAACACTCATGGATATGCATTCTCCAGAACGAAAAAAATCACCACCAAAAAACCTCATTGCCTAGCTGCCTTCTAGCTCGCATGTGGTTCCACAGCAATTGTGAGAATCAATTCGCATGAACGACACTTTATAACACCAAATAAAACTTACAACTATTTTAACCATGATCGTATTCACGTCCCGAGTCTACGAATGCCGCACAGGACTGTTGTAAATTCACATCCTCTTCTGACGAGTTCTAACTCCTGCTTGCTCGGCGGCTCACAAATCTCGGCTGTCCATGCAACCTCAGACCAGATCGCACTGCCGGACTTTGCCGCCGGCGCGATGGAGAACTGGGGCCTGGTGACGTACCGCGAGACGGCGCTGCTGTACGACCCGGTGCAGTCGTCCAACGGCAACAAGGAGCGGGTGGCTTCGGTCGTGGCGCATGAGCTGGCACATCAGGTACTGTGGTGAACAACGCTGCTGTTCTTAGAGACTGCTGCTTCCAAATAGCTTTGTACATTTTCCGGCCCCGGCTAACATCAGTGGAGAGTGACGTCTGAATCAGTCCTGGACAGCCTAGCTTGCCTACCCCGCACTGACCCAGTATGAAGAATGGTCAAACCCCATGACAGACACAGCAAGGGGAGGCCTTCATCCAAGAGTGGATGGATAATGGGCTGTACTCTATAATACTATCCATAACTATAGGTGAAATCAAATGAACACAAATGGCAATAAAAATAAACGTGTACATAAATGTATCCTAACTCCGAGGGATATTTTTACCGCAACACGGGCGATGTGGTGCACAACGCTGCTGCTGCTGCTCTCAAAAAGAGACCGCTGCTTCCAAGCCAGCTTTCGTTCGTTTTCAGGCGAAGGCTAACATTAATGGAGAGTGACGTTTGAATTGGTCCTGGGCAGCCTGCCTTGGCAAAGCACGCTATTATGTATTTATTTGTGAATGGTCTTACCATTGTTCATCCAAGGGCGAACGGACAATGGGTTGTACATTAGAATACTATCCATAACTTTGACAGCAATTTTGACACAAACGGCAATACAAAGTAAAGTGCTACATAAATGTATTCTAATTTATTTGATTTAAAAAATGCACGTGAGTAGCTAAGAGTTAAGCTGTGGGGTTGCGGTGAAAAAGACACTGAGGCTCTTGAAATCTGTCAGAAATTGACATTTTTAGAAATGAAAATCCTTTGCTGTGCAACTATGTGCATAATGCACAACTGGAATAGATCATATAATTTGGGTCTTTCGGTAATGTAACGTAGATAGGAATATATCATGCTGCAGGCAAATTAAATATTTAAAGGGCTTCGACCACTCGAACAAACCTTTCTTGCTATCTTAACTCCCAGGTCATTAATTTCCCATTACACAGGTCATGGCAGAGGTTGATAGCTTTTAAAAAGCTTTCATTGACTCAGCAAAAAGCTGAGTTTAAACAAATTCAGTTCAATTGCACTTCGATGCTGAAGCAGGCGATTACAAAGATGTTGACCTTCAATCCTTATGTCTCATGGCAGCAGTGTTTGCAGACTTGAGGTCGTGATAACCCAGCTCATAGGTTGCGGACCAATAATCTTAAGTGCCCATCATCAAGCCTTCACAGGGGTGTACTCAACTTGGCACACTACGTATCATAATTGTATTCCCACCTCCATGCTTTTGGAACCGCACATTGACGGGCCCGACCTTTGGTGAAAGACATTCAACATACTGACATAAATAATATAGACTGTGATAACATGCATATGTTTTATGTTCACCGCTGAATGCAGTGGTTCGGCAATCTGGTCACGCTGAAATGGTGGAACGACCTCTGGCTCAACGAGGGCTTTGCCAGCTACGTGGAGTATCTGGGAGCAGACTATGCCGAGCCAACTTGGGAATTGGTAACTCACGATCTTGACAGTCTACTCACATCATCTATATTTATCTCCTTATTTTTGTTAATTTTCATGGAACGATTCATCTCTATTGCACACGCTAGATAATGGCCCATGGCATCTGAGTAATATTTAATTCATGATCATCAAATTTACATGTAAAATTTTCAGCGATGAAATCTTGCCAGATTAAGTGTAGAACCACAATTATTGTGCCGCTTTTTTGGGGGTCATTGGCTGAAACCATTAACTCACGACACTTCCGAATCCAGCGTAACCACAGGGAGCTGCCTGACTTTGAACCCACGATCTCAGCAATGCTCGCTCAATGATCTGAAATCTGACCTCTGATCCACCCAGCCACCTCATCAGCATTCCCTATTATTTGCATGAACGTATCATTTACTCAAGAGTTGAGTTTATCACTTGAAAATGCCAACATACCTCGAGTACGAGACATTTTTTGCAAATTATGAGAATGTGACAAGGAGCAAGCATATGTAGAGTAATTGTCTTTTGAAGTGCTTGTAAAATCTTGCGCAAGAGGTTGGGAAAAAACAGTGTTTACTCTGTCTTCTCTGATGGTCTGCCGCATGAGAAAAAAAATGAAAGGGAATAGAAACCTGCACAGTGTTTCCACTCAGAAATGACGAACAGCATTCGTTCCCCCTTTGCAACAAACAGAAAGATCTCTTCGTGATGTCGGAACTGCACCGCGTGTTTTCCATGGACAGCCTAGTCTCCTCTCACCCCCTATCTTCTGCTGAAGAAGACATCAACACACCGGGAGAAATCAATGAGCTTTTCGACTCCATCTCCTACAGCAAGGTAATGGAGCAGTCACACTCATCCATGCGTCCTTCTGATAACTGCAAAACAACTTCAAGACCTAAAGTGACGGCTGTTTTTGTACATCCTTACGTCGGCCCATGAGCACACCTCCGATTAGCGCGGTTGGCTACGTACGGCGCGAATGAAGTTCAACATACATACCACATGATGCATGGTACCAAGGTACCAATTATATGAATAATATTAATAATTAAATTAACTTTATGGCGGGACCTCGGGGTCCCATAAACCCCCGGCTCTCGCATAAACTGCGTTGCACCGCCATTTTATGTCTGTCGAAGTTGAACGACACGGCAATCTATTCCTCTCGACGAGCTCAACACGATGCGCTCATCAAAGTTTAAAAGTTTTGTTTCATCTGCGCATTCGTGCTCGCTGCTGCACTTGGACACGACACGACAACAGAATGATCCGCGCCAGGCGGGTCGCGGCGTTTGTGTGCGTGGTGGGACGGAGTCGCCAAAAATAAATTACGATTTTGACTTCTGTTTATTCGGGACCCCGGGGGTCCCGCCATAAGGTTCAAATACCTGTTAAAATCAAGTAATTACGCATGGTTATATTTGATACCTATCCTGGATATTACGCAAAAACTGCTTTGGTGATGGTGTCACCTAAACAACACTGCGGAGAGAGGCAAGGGGAGATATCAACTATCCTTTCCTCGTTCCTGCCTCAAGAACTTGCGTACAAAGTTCGGTGTTGTGAGGTGAAGAGGGCTAGGGGTTGAATAAGATGGGAGGGAACCTGATCTTGTCGACCTTCCATTGGTCAGATAACGTATGCACAATACCTTTTAATCACCGTGCGTATAAGTAGGGCTTTAACAATTTTTAATGCAATCAACTGTCATGATTTAGGGTTGAGTTTTTATTTTAAAATCAAATATTTTAATATCATTGTCGTGAATTTAGTGGTCTTAAGTGGCTGGAGAGAATATGTGACTTTATTACATACAGCAATTAAATCATATTGATTTTATGCAAGTATTATGAACTTAAGATAGAGTAATTGGTGAATGTATGCAACATGAATGTGTGGGCTTTTAAAGATTTAGATCAGTGGATATACCCAAATGTATTTAATTGTTCAGTGTTGTGTATATGCTTGAGATTATAATGTCTGGTGTTTTTTCAACCCTTTGAGCCTATGTGACAGACATCTCCCGTCCATTTGACCTGCTGCCTTGTTCTGTGTTTCTTCTTTCTAATTTCAGGGTGGATCTGTGCTCCGTATGTTGTCATCATTCCTCACTGAGCCTGTGTTTGTAGAAGGACTAAACGTAAGTCTATCATCAACAGCCAAAGGGTCCTTCAATTTCCGGACGATAATTCGTTCTTGAAAAGTTCAGCAACATTCGCATGACGTATGTGCATGTTCAATATGTGATGTCCACACCACGTGTTTATGGGTGCTTCGCATGTGTGCACGCAGACATACCTCCTGGCTCACCAGCTCAGCAATGCAGCGGTGGATGACCTGTGGGTTCACCAGCAGCAGGTAAAGAGTGACACTGGCACTGCGATGTGCACGCAAACCGCTATCCTCGACAGGCCCTACTGTCTGCAACAAAGTGAGAATAGCGTCCAAGAAGAGGCAGCCAAGCGGCCGTGGTATTGAACAACACTTTAAGTACTTTTTGGTTCTTTCGGTAAAGTCACGTAGGTAGAAAAAGAATAGATCACGATGTTACGATCGCAACGCAAGCAATCTTCATCAGGCTTGATGACAATTGCTTGCTTTGTGATCGAAACAATAGATCACGACAGTTCTAGGCCGATGAAGAATTCTTGCGTTGCGATCGAAACGTCGTGATCTATTATTTTTACTACCTACGTGACTTTACCGAAAGAACCAAAGAGTATGGATTCCTGCAGTCACAAGCATCGGCGCAGGTACAACACGTTAACATGTGTGACAGATAGCAATTTTGTGCGTAGTATTGAATAAGTACTAAATCATACTATAAGCATCTCTATAATTTGATCCATATTTTTCTTCTTGGTTCTTTCGGTAAAGTCACGTAGAAGGGAAATAATAAAATAATAAAAATAAAACATCATAAAATAATTCTCACGACGTTTCGGCCACAACGCAAGCAGCCGTCCTCAGGTGAAGACCAGGTCCCTTCTACGTGACTCTACCGAAAGAACCAAGAAGACGAATCCCTGCAGTAATGAAAGCTTTAAATCGAAAGGTGTAAGCCCAGTTGCTAAATGACTGCACACACAAAAAAACTATCACGTAAGATTTAGCTCTGCAATTAATGGACCATTTTATAGCTCTGAGAATCAGTTTTACCGTCGTGCTATGGACATTACTCCAAGTAGGAAGATGGGTAGGAGAGCGCTGCTACTTACTGTGTGGAACAGAGATCACTTGAAGGGATTGCAGAGGTCGCTCTCTGATGTCTGCTTCCATGATCCATTCTCTACAAGAGCAGGGGTTAACTTTACAAGTGTCGTGAGATCTGGTACAAAGAAGTTGATGAAGGTGAGGTGTGGTGGCATCAAAACATTATCCCAGACATTTCTCTTGGTCCTCAGTTTCATTGACTAGAATAGTAGCCCTCATTTCAACTTACTTCTCAATCGCAATGCACGCGAATGTGATTTATTTGACTGGATAGTTGGCCAACCGTAAATGTCCGATTGCCGGTGCAGGCGGTGGACAATAACAACGTGAATCTCCCAAAAACGGTGAAAGAGATCATGGACACATGGACGCTTCAGATGGGCTACCCTGTGATCAAGCTCGATACGAGCAACGGCAATGTCACCCAGAAGTACTTCCTGATCGACCCCGAAGCGGTCGCTGGGCGGCCATCGCCCTTCAAGTGAGTATCCCCCTGTACCTCCTGCTCACAGGATGAACACATTGTACAATTAACCTCAGACAACACCTGAGTCAGTTTGCACGAATCGGTGCTTGTCTTGCCCGTATTTTCTTAGCGCGCAACACTGAAACAGTACAGGTGTCCCTTGATTTACGGAAGGCATGCGTTCTTCAAAAAAACCGCGTAAAACTAAATTTTCTGAATCGGAATAAGCTTTTCTCATTAATTGAATACGAAAAATTAGGGACGTGTTTCAGACAGTCATTCCAACTCTACTCCTACATCTACAAATATACACCAATGTTACTTTTCACAATATAACAATTATAAAGAACAGAAAGATGAAAGCGATTGAACAATCATAAAACAAATCATTTTCTGGGAACTCACCTAAAGATCTGCATGTTGGAATGACTGGCAATGTGATGTGGAGGCGTTACTGTTGCCCTGTCGCGATATCGTGACGCTCTCGCAGATCGATGACGCAGCCTTCCGAGTGGTTCTTGCTTGGTCTCATGGCACGTGTCGTGTGAAACTTCGTGAACGTAGCAATTCGATTTCGTTAATGGAAAAGTGCCCATAATTTGTCAATTCTGTTCTTTGCGAAATTTTGTAAACTGAACGTTCGTAAATCGAGGAATACCTGTAGAGTATTCTGTGGATGGAGTTGGAGTGGTGGCACATGATGCTGTGAATACGAGCTACAACCGGAGTTCTGATTCCCTGCCATGGCTACGCTAAGGAGGAGATATATGAATCAGTCCTAAACCCCTCTGCCTCACCAACCCACACTGACCAGTGTGGTGAACTATGGTCAAACTACGTCCATGGCTGACAACTTTGGGAGGCCTTCATCCAGCAGTGGATTGACAAAGGGATACACATTCATAGACATCAAATATCCTTTTTAAATCCTTTATATTAAGTTCACTTGCTTGCTTGCTTGCGCGCTTACGACCGTGCAAATCTTTCGGTCGTTTTTTAACCCACTTCCCGTGATCCAATCGAGCTGACATTTTGCACACAGACACGAAAATAAATTGCAAAATGTTACACTTTTTAGGAAAAAATAAATTATATTTAATTACCAACTGCTTAATGGTGGCAGGCAATCATCTGACCCATAGGTGGCAGCCATCTCAAGCCAGAGGACGAGAGGACTCTAGCCGCCACGCATATAAAGGATTTATAGTGAAAAACTTTGTTTTTACGGGTTAATTTTTTCATCTTAATCCTCTGGTGTAAACCATCTTGTTTTAGGATGGTCCTAAGTTTCAAAATGTTAAATTTACCTTCAATGGGTATTTTGAAATGAAAAAAAAACTTCTCTAATTGGAGAAGTACATTAAATATATCACTGAGAATATATCCAGTATTAAGACATTTGAAAAAAGTAATGTTCTGCAACAACTGAATTGCGAGTAAAATATTATAACAACCAATGTTTCTACAGTTACCTGTGGAATGTGCCCATCACATGGAAGAAGGATGGACCCATTAGCACTGTGTGGTTACTGGGAGTTAAAGGTAAGCACTTGCCTATCATGTTTCGATTTTTTTGTCAATATTCTTTGACAGGGATTGAGTAATTAATAGTTTGTCAAATGCAAGTCATGCTAATTAAAAAAAAGTTCTGTAATTGCTTATCAAGTAACTATTACAATGTGTGAGCCAGTTCCACTTTCAACGTTTTAATGTTTGAAACATGTGTATGGAGAAACACTTGCTGCGCAGTCACTTTAATTTTCCCATTTAATCATTCAGTTGTGAACTGATCAAACTGCAAGCAGCAATATCTCTGTTACCCATGTCCTTATTGCAACTCATTGGTTCCTGCATGACGTCAGATGCTATCTTTCCCGACCTACAAAGTGCTGACAAATGGGTCCTGCTCAACATTGATGAAGTTGGATACTACCGCGTCAACTACGATGTTGCCAACTGGAATCGCTTGCTGAATCAGCTGCAAACTGACCTCGAAGTACGTGAATTAAACACAATAATAATAACACCTTCATTTTCTATATGGTCGTCATTCATGCCAACAGCATCCCACAACGATGTACATTAATTATATTTAAGGACCAAATCCCATACACAAAGTTGGTTACACATGGCGCAAAAGAAGCCCAAAACACACACCTACACACCAAGCAAATGATAACCCTCACTACCAAGCAAAATAAAAAATGAATAAACAAATTAAGAAATGGCACCAAAACAAAAAAGCACAAACAACAAAAAAGGTATAAAAATAAAGAAATTAGTCCATTAAGTCTCAACTTCACAGACCACAATCCCACCGTCCCAACCAAGCCAGGACACCTTTACAGGAGGGCGCGGTGGAGTGCCAAGATTTTACGACAAATATAGATCAAAACAGATTCAATGTATTTGTAGAAACATTTGACAATCCGCTGTTGGATGAACGCCTCCCGATGCTGTGCTGGTCATGAGAGTTATTTCACCATACTTCACCATGCTGGTCAGTGTGGTTTTGTGAAGGCAGGGAGAATAAACGTGGGAGCACAGAGTACAGTACACCAATGGATGTTACATCACTCTCCTCTGCTATCCAAAACGTAACCCTGCAGCAGCCTATAAGAAGCTTCTGTGCAAGGTGGTCACTATGCACAGAGATGCCGCATTACGTTTGATCTGGCCATCGGCATTATATCGGGTTATCTTTGTATCTATATATATGAAAGCAGTGGCGGCTCCTGCAAAATCTCTCAGGGGGGGCAAATGTCTGGATGATTGATAAGGATAAGGTCCACCCATGCAATGAATAAATTAACAGCTTAAGCATGTAAAGGCAACTTCACTTCTTTAATATTAATGAAAAATAAAATGACTCTTACAATACATCTTGTTTGTTTATATACTCACTATTAAAACAAACCACTCAAGTTTATTTTATTAAAGATTCCACTAGGTAGCGATAAATTATATTGTTGGATGAAACGTGCTTACGTATGATGACGTTAGCACGTATGATGACGTAAGCACGTTAGTGCATGCCCTCCCGGAAGCCATAGAGAATGCATGGGAGCGCCCGCCGTTCGAAAAAAAACATCTTTGAATGTAAGTCTATGGGGCCACTCGGGGCGATTCTCAGCCGGAGTGAAATCGCCCCAAAAGAGGCGGTACTCCACAGAACGTGACATGACGCTGATTGGACTATATCCAGAGGCTGACAGTGACGGCTAGCGTGACTGTGGTTGAATGACATTGGTGGTGCGTCGCCCAATCGCCCTAATGAAGAAACCGCCCCTGTATGAAAGGGAAATGTAGGAATATGTGTGTCTGTTCGAAATGTTTAGCATACTTCCCGACATGCAACAAACTTGAAATTTGGTATGTGGGTAGCTTCCAGACTGTACACAATGAAAAACGTATAAAAAAAGACTTTTGTATTTTAGGGGGGGGGGGGGGGGGCGCAATAATGGATATATTTTGCACGGCAAGTGAGCGGTGACGTCACATCTGTGATGTCACCCGCATTCGGCAGCGTCACGCGGTGTGCCTGCTGACGTCACGCACCCCCCCCAACCATCCGCGTAGGCCGTGTATTAATCCAAGACAAGAATCCAAGTCTCGGGCGAAGCCGGGTAGTAAAGCTCGTAGATTCATATCAATTATAGAGAAAACATATTCAAAGCTTCAACATATCTCCCAACAATCTCAATTCGTTAATTCTATCTGTTAACACGGTCCTCACACACAGCCAGTGTGCTTTACTTACAATATTCGATGATGCGTAAACAGATATAATTGGTATATTGTGGATGTTTTGACCGACGCAAGTGTTCTATGACAAGGAACAAAAATCCATTCGAGCTGTCAGGTGAATGTGGGAGTCGGACAATTATCCCACCTCGGCCAGTCCAACAGACAATTGTCTCCTTAACCAACCACGTGCTGCACGAGACCAGGGTCACTATGCTTCAGTGAGTGGGGTAGCTACACATGGATCATACAAAAGCCTATTGACAATGGTATATATAAAAAATGCAAAAATACAGAGGAATGGTCACGTTTATGAGGAACTCTTCTGAGCTGTACTTGACATTTCAAAACCAATTGCATTTGATTGTTTTCAGGATGATACCCGTGATCAACAGAGCACAAATCATCGACGATGCCTTCAACTTGGCCAGGTGAGAACAACAAGGTCACAGGAAGCCCAGCTGCAGCACATAAAGCTGCATCATAAACCTGTACATATTACTGTCAACGTTATCAGCCATAATCTATTCACTGCTGAATAAAGGCCTCCAAGATATTGCCATCTCTTATAACGAAGGATGGAGAGCTGTAGGCTTGGAACTGCACTTAGAGACAGAAACAGGGACACGTGCATGAGAGAACATATGCAAGTAGACATCATATTGACTTCATAAATGTAATTAGGCTTCGGCAGGACACTTTATTATGAGAAGGGAAGGTGGGCAACGGAAGAGACTGGTGACAGAATGGCAGCCAAAGAAGCGAAGAGTCCTGAGAGAAAGGCCCACTCAGAGATGGAGCGATGAGCTCAGCTCGTCAGATGGAGCAAAGGCCATGGATGTTCGATCCCCCCAAAAAAGCATAATTTTCAAACTACAAGCAAACCTAATCCAGAATATGATTTCATTGTCCTCTTCATCCTACCCACCCGCTGCAGGGCGAAACACATAGACGTGAAGCTGGCCCTGAACACCACACTCTACCTGGTCAATGAGCGCAAGTACCAGCCCTGGCAGGCGACCATCTCCAGCCTTTCCTACTTCAAGCAGATGCTTGACCGCTCTGCGGTATTCGGGAACATGCAGGTATAAACACACGCAAACATCTGTGATGCTGATGATGCAAGCATCGGCGCAGGATACAACACGTTAACATGTGTGACAGATAGCAATTTTGTACTGTAGTATTGAATAAGTACTAAATCATACTATAAGCATCTCGATAATTTGATCCATATTTTTCTTCTTGGTTCTTTCGGTAAAGTCACGTAGAAGGGAAATAATAAAATAATAAAAATAAAACATTATAAAATAATTCTCACGACGTTTCGGCCACAACGCAAGCAGGCGTCCTCAGGTGAAGAACAGGTCGGTCGGAAAGACAGCGTCTGAATGAACACCACCAGGCTTGGAAGCGTATATTTAAGCTGGGTTGGAGGGGGAAGAGCGCCTTGACAAAGGAATTAGTATTTCCCTTCTACGTGACTTTACCGAAAAAACCAAGAAGATGAATCCCTGCAGTCACGAAAGCTTCAAATCGAAAATTGATCCATATTTGTAAATTGTAACAGCCAGCCTATCCAGCTGTTTCTAAATGTGCGTTTGTAAGTCGACTTTGAATGTTGCGTCTCAATCCGTATGCAGAAATACATCCTGCAGCAAGTCATACCACTGTACAATTACTACGATAACCTTGTGGGCAGCAACTGGAACGATGTCCCACCAGGGCATGCCGACCAGTGAGTTGCAAACCTCTCAGCCATATTAGCAAACAATACACCCAAGCATGCAAGTCTGGCAGCAACATACAAAAAAGATACAACATTTGAATTATAAATACAGGTGTTAAGAATGTCAACTACAGGTGTTTATAACGCCTGTATTTATGCCAGACAATGCACATCCTTTTCTAATCATTCAATAACTTGATACTGGCAAAAGGGTCCCATAGAGATACAAACTTTGTTTGAAACATGAAAGTGAATATTAATTTACAGGTAGAACATGAATTTCTACCTGTGGTGTCAGATGTAGCGTATACTATTGCACTTGAGAGTTCGGCTCTCAAGATGGAAACAAGGTGACTCGACACTACTGATATATATTACAGGACTTATCTTCCAACATATGGGCGCTGTGATAATCGTTCCCCAATAACTTTGCTTTAAATACGTAAACAGTTTCACCTATAATTATAACCAATGTCAAAAGTTAGTTTGAACTGCCAAAAATGTATCTCTCTCGTTCATAATCGTAACTGGAAATGTCTGTGTGCAATGCTTGACCCGACATGCTTTTCACTTCCCGAAACAACTGACGTGCAGATATAACCAAGTCAACGCCATCTCGCTCGCGTGCTCCTACAACCATCTCCCCTGTGAGGTGAAGGCCTCCGCAATATATAAAGCTTGGATGGAAAATCCTGACAATTATATGTAAGCCATCCAACACTCACAGAGCTTTCTTTCTTTCTTTCTTATTTGTAATTGCAAACAAGTCCGATTGTATTTCATTTGTAAGTAAATTGCATGTTGTTTGTCACATTGTTTTTCTTCTTGGTTCTTTCGGTAAAGTCACGTAGAAGGGAAATAATAAAATAATAAAAATGAAACATCATTTATTATTATTCTTTTATGACTTTTTATTACTATTTTATTATTTCCCTTCTACGTAACTTTACCGAAAGAACCAAGAAGATGAATCCCTGCAGTCACGAAAGCTTTAAATCGACATTGTTTTTCATTAACACAACACGGACAAAGTGGGCTCATGAAACTTTCAAACGTAATTGAATGTGTTGAGAGCAGGAGGAGCTGGACATGAAACTGAAAGAGTAATTCTGGATATTACACAAACAATCTGGTGATATCACCCACCACTTAGTGATAAAATAAGGCCACAATGTTGGCATGGTCATTTTTTACATTTCGTGGCCAAGGTGTGGGAAAAATGGTCATGGAACAAAAGTCGGTGCCTCACCTCCATAAAAGAAGACTACAATATATAGTGTGTTTATACTTGTTTATAACAAAAGGACGGCTAAAATAACCAATAATAAGTTAAAAAATATGTGCGCCAAGTGACGAAATTCAGCCAAGTTTTTTGGCATATTGAATCGATTCGGATTGAAGAGGTTCAAATATAAATCAAAATATGGGTCACCCGGGTCAGTTAGAGAAAGCCATATTGCCCTCCCGCAAACGCTTTTTGTTCTGACAGCTACCGGTCGGCTTCCGTACTGACAATTGAAAACTCCCGAAGGCAAACGCACCTTGCAATTAATTACACAATGCATACATGCATGCGTGCATGTGTACTGCGTGTGCATGATTTTTCCTGACGCGTTCTCTTTTTAAATCCGTTATATTAAGTTCACTTGCTTGCTTGCTTGCGCGCTTACAACCGTGCAAATCTTTCGGTCGTTTTTTAACCCACTTCCCGTGATCCAATCGAGCTGACATTTTGCACACAGACTCGTTGTGCGTGACAATTTATTTTCTTGCAAAAAATTTCCTAAATTTTCCACTTTTTAGGAAAAAAAATTCATATTTAATTTAAAATACTAATGTGATGAAAATGAAACTCTTACTCAAGAAAAACAGAAATGAATAATAAAATAAAACCGATGCCACGCATGTAAAGGATTTATAGTGAAAAACTTTGTTTTTACGGGTTAATTTTTTCTGTTTGTGCCCACTCGGCCGCGGTGTGCAGTATCCACGCGAACCTCAAGTCGACGGTTTACTGCGTGGCGATTGCCGCGGGTGGGCAGGCGGAGTGGGACTTTGGTTGGAAGATGTTCAAGGAGACGTCGCTCGCCACGGAGGCCGATAAACTCCGGGATGCACTGGCTTGCAGCAAGCAGACCTGGATCCTGAACAGGTGCTGCCAACATACGCGTAGATTCTTCTGACGTCTCTCGGAATCGTTTAACACATTCCTGCGGAGGGAGCTGGTAGGAACGTTGGGTTGCTCGGTCAATGGCCAGGGTCAACGGCGGCGTGGTGTATTCCGCAAATATGCCCGACTGTGAGGGCGGGCACAAGCCGGCGTGAGTAGGTTAAACGTTGAGTTTTATAAGGGCACCACGGGGTGACCAGCCCCTCCCCACCCAGCCCCACCCTCCCCACCCTCCCCTCCCCACCCAGGCCCTCCATCCCCACCCAGCCCCTCCCTGCACGACGGACACAATAATCCCCTGTGGGCTGGTGTAACCAGGAGGTTCCTACCAGTATAACTCAGGAAGAGTCAACTAAAAGTGTCATGGCCCAACGCTGTTTTTTATGTCAAGACAGTGAAGACCAATTTAAAATTAATTTTGCCAGTAAGGGAACATTTTAGTGTGCAAGAAAAAAAAACAAAGAAAAAACATGCAATGACTTGTACTCTGGAAGTGATACAAGTTACAGTAAATTAACTAGTTCTTAAGACCATTGGAGCCTCATTTGCCAGTAGAAAAATATAATACTTTTACCCTTTTATCTGGCAACAACCAAGGACAGTGCATACATTATCAGAGCTATGTTTTTTGTTTGCATTCTGACTGCAGGTATTGTGATCTATGCAAACATGACTCCTTGTAAAAAAAGGTGTCAGTTTTGTTGCCAGATAGAAGGGTAAAACAACCAATTATCATAGTTCTTAAAATTGGAGAATTATAGCTATTGCTTGCTCGTCAAAATATCTTTTTTGACAATGGTCCTCATGTATTACCAAAGAGTGATACAATTCTTGGGCTAAAATTCGATCGCAGAAGCAGAGCTTATTAATACAGATGCAAGCATTTTATCCATTGTGGATATTTAATCAATAAAGTTAATTCAGGAGAAGTACACTTGTGTGCAGCAGTCAGTTGTGCAGATCATCAAATACGAGACACCTATTAGCAAGTGCAGTGTGGGTGTATGCAGAAAGTAGGAAGCTAACATCTGTTTTTACACATTTAGTTTTTGTTTAAATTCATGAAATATGATGTGCTTAGATTATACGATGCTTAGTTAGGGCAAGGTCTTCCAGGCAAAATGAACATGTTATATTCATGAACTCTACCCTGATTTAAAGTTAACAATAAATCCCGTAAATTAAAAATTAAACAAAATAACAGGAGTGATGGTGCGTACGTTTGAAAGTAAACTGCTACCTCATAGATCCTCGTCCTTTTGTGCACTGTGCAGGTATCTGGAGTACACCCTGGACCCCGCAATGATTCGGAAACAGGACGCAACCAATACCATTGTGAGGATTGCCAGCAATGTCGTCGGACAGTCTCTGGCTTGGGACTTCATCCGAGCCAACTGGGAGTACATCTTCACCGAGTAAGTTCAACTTAATGCGCACTGCATCCCACTTTAATTGCCAGACGGGTGTACGGAGATCAAGGCTCGTGTGCTCCTGCTTCACGTGTTGATGTGTGTACGCGTGTCCTCTGATTGGTCGCAGGTACGGAGGAGGCTCCTTTTCCTTTTCACGCCTCATTGAAGGAGTTACGGGACGATTCTCCACAGATTATGAGCTCAAGCAGGTGAGGAAAGCACACGTTAAGCCACAGTGACATGGACTCATGAAATACCCATCAATGTTATTCATTGCATGAGTGCACGCATATACTGTGCGTATGAGTGAGTACATACACGACATTTTTCCTACGTTAATTACAGTGTCAGAGTTAACGAGCGTGCAGGTGGTGCAATTGCACAGGGGTCCACGGGCCAAAAGGGAACCAGGTTCCAAGCTACAAAAGAGCAAAAAATGGATATGGGGCCCTATTTTATTCGTTGCACCAGGGTCCATGCCACCGCACAATACAACGCTTTTCGAGTCCCTAATTATCTCCGCCCGACTGAGCTCACCTCTCCCTTCTCGCCTCTCCTCAGCTCGAGCAGTTCAAGGCCGACAACCAGGAAGTCGGCTTCGGGTCCGGAACACGAGCGCTCGAGCAGGCCCTGGAGCGCACCAAGGTCAACATCAAGTGGCGTGCAGACAACGAGAAACGGATTGACGAATGGTTCATCGACAGCATCAGACCATAGGATGACACAAAAACATTTCACTCCCTGCAATGAGTTTCTATTCTGAGAAGAGAGAATTGCCTTTAAATGGCACTACTGGAAGCATGTGCTGTGATTAATTAATTGTTACAAAAATTTCCATCCGGTCTGTAACCTGTAATTGGGTGTAATCCATCACTTGTATATTATTTCGACTTAATATTTCTTTACTGCATCTTAAATGCGTTCAACTAAATATACAGGAGAACATCTTTTGTTGCATTTTACTTTGGCCAATGTTCAAGAACTACAAAAGTTACATGTCCGAACCTGTAAATCTAAATATAATTTTCAGACTTTCAGACTGCACGTGTGGAATGTTTGTATACTTTAGGTGGTGGTGAAGAAAGCATTTAGTTGTTTCATATAGAAGATCACTTTTGCACACGCAGTATAAGAAGTAAAGGTTTTCATTATGTTTCCAAAGCTTAATAAATATCATGTCTGATTGATTCATTGCATTACATTTATATAAATGTATTTTAAAATCTCAATGCGTTAATAGTAATTGTGGTTACTGTAATAAAGTAAGTTCATGACTTGGAGAATAACTTCGTTGTTTGATGAAAGTCAATGCATCTGAACTTGAAGACGGTTGTAATTTAAATGTATAATGTGAAAATGACAATTGTACAAATATCATGCTATATTTCTCAAAAAAGATGATTAGTATAAGGAAACAATACAATATATTTTAATTCTACTTGAAAATTTGTTTTGTCCTGTATACAAATTATTGGTGCCAATGGCCAAATGATCTGCAATGTGCCACATCTCATCAGACCTCAAGAGGCTAAGCAGTCAATGAGCCTGGATAGTGCTTGTAGAGGTGACCACAATGGTGTAACACGTAGGGTTTCGCGACAAATATCCATAATAGAGTTTTTTTGGGTTAGATCGCGTAAATATATAAATGTGTCGTTAAAACCCGCCACCACCCGACACACAAATACTAAGGGTTGTCGCAGATAATGTTGAAGTGGACTTCTCCACAAATCTGGCTGTCGCCTGATGAAGCTAGTTGTAATTACTGGCGAAACGTCGTACTCCGATTGTAAATGTTGTGGCTTGGCTCTCCAACACACCGGTTAGTGCTGTACTAGTGACGAATTGGCCAGGTTCTGTTTACGTGACAACCCTTACTAGTTGGCTGTGTCGGGTGGTGGTGGGTTTTAACGACACGTTTATATATTTACGCGATCTAACCCAAAAACCTCTATTGTGTGACCACAATGGTTAAAAAAGGGGTGATATGGGCTGCTGTGGGGCTACATCATAGGCAGCAGAGGGCACTGCAGCAGAATACATTGTAATACTGTACTATCCTTCAAAGTCTATGCACCCCATCTGCACTGACCCACGCCGATAAGTATGGAGACATATGATGAAACAATTCTTATATAAAAGAAAAAATATGATTGAAATATTTCACCAATAAAATTCCTCGAGATTAAACATCTCATTTCCAAGGGTATCCTATGACATGAGGTCCTCATTCAGCAGTGTACTTAACAAAGGGAATGCACACATACAAAATTATTCGTAACACTCCAAATTAAAAAATATGAACGTTTAAAAATATTTTAATAACTTTCATGTGTCTTCATTGAGTTAATTTCAACAATTACTGATGGCGGGATCCCATATGAATCCTATATACACTTTGAACTTTTCATATGGGGCTATCCATAAATGACGTCACGCGATTTGGGCCGATTTTTGACCCCTCCTTGCCCCCCTCGTCACACGGCGTCACAAAAAGTCAGACCCCCCTCAAATGTGACGTCACAAAGCTCTGCCCCCCTCCCGAAAACCATATTTCCATTTTGAAAATAAACATGCTTCAAATCACTTTAAATTATTGTCATTGTAGTGCGTATTTAATGTGGCGCTGCACTCTGATGTTGTCGGAGAAACAGGTATTAAAAAGGAGGCGTTGGAAAGCTGAAATTTAGCATAAAATTAACTTGAAATCATTCAACGTCTAACTAAAACTGCAGATGTTCAGAATATTATATTGCAATTCTCTTATAATTATAAGATATTAAAAGTTATTATAACTATACAAAATACTTCAAACTTTGTAGTAGAACGAATCAAAATGGAGAGTACAATAATAACAATCACATATTCATTCCACAGAATGAAAAGCCCTGGTAGAATAATTAAAATAAAAATGTTAATAACAATAACAAAAAACAAAAATACAAAATGTATGCTTCTCTAGTCTTCCATGGGGAAGCAAAATGCTCCATCATGGAATTAAAAAAAGGTGACCTTAGTAAATTTAAATAATCAAATAGTTAATAATGAAATTTATCAAAATTAGTGTTGTTATAACAATTATATTTAATTAAGTAGAACGTGATGTTTATATTTATTTAAAGTTGCGCATTTTGATGTGACGTCACATTTCTCACTCCCCCCCCCCTCGTCACACGTCACAAATATCTGACCCTCCTCCCCCCCCTAGGTGCGTGACGTCATTTATGGACGGCCCCTATACGACGTATATTTACGTGGAATGTATCACCTCAGCCTAATAATAGTCACACTTGTGCAATTTATCACCTCAGCCAAGTGATAGCAATGGAATATTTGCGTGAAATGCATTACGTCTTGACTAAGTTGTAGTTACAAAATGTTATGACGTGGTTGGTGTGGCCATGGAACGATAAGATGGGAGTCGAACTTGACGCTGAGGAACTTAATGTGGGTGGAGAAACGGATAGCAGTGCCAGCGATGAATTTGTTAGCAGCTCGTCTGACCGTGGTGAGCAATTAATATGTTAACAGGAAGCATGCCAGTGGTGAGTTACTGTTCGGTGACAATCAGGATGGCTTTGGATTTAGAATAATGAATTTTATACATGCCGTGTGTGTGTGGAATTATTAACTTCATCGATTATAAATGAGGGATATCAAATTATTATTGTACAATTAATCAACTACTGTGCACATGCACAGAAATCGATCTTCAGAATCAATAGTTTTGATTTACAGAATGTTAACACTAAAATAAGGACGACTTCCGTGCCAATGCAATGGAGAAATACATGCTTGGAATTAGGTTAAGGAAATGGATCACGGAACATTAAGCAGGTTAATTACATAATTCACTCCAGGACACGTTGCTCGGAGGGACGATGGACAAAGGTCGAGAAGATTAATGGAGTGGAAGCCGAGGAATAGTACATGCACGTGCTAAATTGATTGTTGCATCACAAGATCATGAGACGTGGCGGTGGCTTGGAGAGGCCTTCATTCAGCAGTGGAATAATGTATGTATGTCGAATTTCTCGCGCACCGTACCAACCGTGCTAATCGGAGGTGCCATGATCATGGCCGATAATGACGATAGGGGGAAATGTGGGAAATGGTTGAATGCTGACTTTGACATTCCTAGAAGACACTTGTGTAACCATGAACCAACTAGCTGATGCGCACACACTGTCTTGCCTCACGGCAGATGTGGAGCGTGCGTTCACAGGAAGTTCCTGTTTTTTTATGCTAATTTTGGTCACGTGACCAGGAAGTGACGATTTTAGATTTCCACTGTACCACGCGGGCGTCGGCCATTACACAGATAAGTCAAGATGGAGGCACGCATCGCATCTCAGTGAGACCACAGCCGCACTTGTCCATTGTGGGAGCTTAAGAAGCATTATCTGTAAGTATGTTTATATTCCTATAATATTGGCAATGCTGTTGTAATGTTGGAATGACCGTTATAGTGATGTAAATGCCTTTATGGTGCCGTTAAGTTGTAGTAAATACGAGGCCTAGTTAGTAACGAAGCCTGCGACTTTCCTTATTGTGGATGTTACTTGTGATTTAGTAGGTCGAGTCAGACTTGTGCCTATGTTGCGATCCTGAGAGTAAAGATGACGAAGTATCTCATCCACAGTTTAGTGTTATGTGTAATGCTGTACATTTGGGGTGCAGTGGGATGAATACACGATGTGCCTGTGTAGAGGTGTAATTGCGCATGGCTACGAATGTTGAGGTGTGATTATGCATGGCCACGGATGGCCAACAAACACAAGGGGCGGGGTTACGGCCGTAGACAAGGGTGGCGCTCGCACCGACGTCCGCATGTGTATCCCCCACGGCCCCCCCCCCTCGGGGGCGAGTCCTATAAAAGGTGATGAGCTCGAGGGCTCGAGGTCGGGACTCAGCTTTAACCAGAGAAGACGGAAGACCAGCTAGTGTAGGCCCCAGAGCTCCCCTGGCTCGCTGTCCTTATAAGGGCCGACCAGGGCAAGCCGGTGGCGTGGCCCCGAGAGCCCAGACGAAGCTGGTCTGGTGACTCAGGGAGCCGGGATCCCAGCTTAACCAAGCTGGGACAGATAGCCTCCCCTAGTCCCGTAGTGGAGGAATTGGTATAGGTTAGAGGGGTTAGCTGTCGAGTAATCCCTGTAGCCAAGTGACCTGTAATAACTGTGTTGGTGTAATAAATAAGTGTGCCTCCGATCCTGTCGTCAAGCCTCCATATACTTACTACATCTGGTGTCAGAAGTAAAACGTCCAACGATGGACACACGAGGGACGACACGTACCAGGGAGTCGGAGATGGAAGACGCCGCGGCCGAATCACCACCAGAGATGGCCGGGGTCGGATCGGAGCTGCCGGGGCCGAGTACGCCCGCGCCGCCACGACAAGAGGGGGGGGATGCGTCGGCCGAAGGACTCCGGCTGGCCCACTCCCGCCTGGCGGAACTGCTCTACGCCGCGGCCGCCGCGTTGGAGGAGATCACGCGGCTGGGGGCTGGAGGAGCAGCGCGGGTCGACGACGGCAGCCGACGCGGGGCAACGTTTCCCGCCACCCCGACGCGGCTCGCGGTCAAATTTCCCGCCATCGCTACAGTGCGAGCGGAGGGCGGGGCCGGGCCGCGTCACATGTCTGCTGAGCGCCAAGCACAAGCCGTGACGTCATCAACACCGGCCGGCGCGTCAACATCAGAGCGACCGGCGATGCCATGCTCACAGCCCGCCCACACTGTATCATCGGCGGGGAGCGACGGAGAGCGTTCTGCAGCCACGGACGCCGCCTTACAACAGCGTCTGCCGCCTCTTAAAGAATTCGTAGGCGCAGACGGAGACTGGGGCGGTTTCAAGAGGCGGTTCATCGCTCATCAAGAGATGGCGAACTGGTCGGACGCCGAGGCTCTACGCGCGCTGCCAGCGATGCTGGACAACGACGCCCTGGCTACCCTCACCTCGGCGCCGAGGGAAAAGCGCGCCACTCTACACCTGGCGTTGCAGCTGCTGTCAGCCGTCTATGGGCCGCCTTCGGACTGCAGGCAGCTGTTCCACGATCGGCGTCGGGGCGCCAACGAATCGCCCCTGGCCTTCCGGACAGCTCTCCTGGCCATGGCGAAGGCTGCTTTTCCAAGGATGGACGAGGAAGGAGTGGATGCCATGGTGGCTGAGAAACTGTTGCTACTCGCTGATGAGCTGGACGTCAACGTCCTGGCTCAAGACGACGCGGAGATGTCGTCCCTGCTGGTCGCGCGCCACATCCACGGGGGCTTGCGGTCCCTACGTCGAAAGGCGGCAAAGGGGGCGGCCAGCCATGCCATGGCGGCTACCGCCCTCCCATCGGAGGAGGTCTGCGGGGTGGAGCGGCGAGGGGAATGGAGATCGGCGGCACCACAGGCTCGGAATGGACCGAGCCGCCAGGAGCAGCCCAGGACATCGGGG